TCCTTTGTTTGGTTTGTTTTTGTTTTGTTTTGTTTTTTGGTACCAGGGATTGAACTCAGGGCCTTGTGCTTGTGAGGCAGGCAGCAGAACCACTGAGCTAAATCCCCAGCCCATAAAATCCAAGTATCCTTTGAAAGAGATCTCAAATCGAGGGCCCACTGCCACTTCCTCCCCAACAGTGCAGGCAAAGGGAAGGGAATTCTGCAGTTTGGGACGGGGTACATACCTTGAAATAAGGGGAAAGCACAAGAGGGCAATAAGGGTATAAGACAGATTTGACTTTCATCACAAAGTGCCAAGGGCCAGCCCCAGCCCATATAGTCCCTTGAAGTCATTAATATCCAAATGAATCTTGCATGACCCCATAGACAAACTTATTTCTGGGTTGGTGGAAGTGTGACCTTTTACTTGTCCTCCAAGCCAGAACACTTGTGAGTAAAATGAGGTGCTAAAATAATTAGGCCTGGGCAATAAGTACAAATGGGGACTGTCATATTATGGGAAAAACCAGAAGCAGGGTCCCTCCCTAAGACGACTGTGAGCAGAGACTAAATCCTCAACCATCTTGATTTTTTGTTTTCTTCTTGTACTTTTTGTTCCAGTGTGTTACCTGGGGCTACTGTGAATAGTTCATTTTTTTTTTTTTTCCTGCTCAACAAACAAAATCTTCCAAACCCGGAATCCATGACATCAAAAGTGAGAGACCCAGATAGAATACTGGGTGCTTCTCATCATCTGCTTCCTAGAGCCCAGGAAGGGCAGCTAAGAAGACTATGGGAATCGTCTTCTCCCTGGTCCAGTACACGGAGGGCAGGGCACAGCTTCAAGAAAGCCCCATCTCTTCTGCAAGCAGAGTTACAGTAGTCAGGTCATGCTTGTGGGCACAAACACAGAACTGCCCTCTTGCAAGTTACTTCTGTACAATTCCAACCTGTTCAACGGGATCTCCAGGAGACAGCAACTTTAATAGTCTCAGTGTCCCCATAGGACAAATCCAGAAAGAAGGTTTCTGTTATTTCATTTTCAACATGGTGAAAGGATCAGTAGTAAAGAAATCCAGTAGATTACCATACCTGCCCACCCCACAACTGAGTGAAAACCCCATGTTTTACACACAAACATACACGTGTGCATCACACATGCACACCTGCATTCTAAATACCTATATAAATACAAAAAAAAAAAAAAGCCCAAAGGTGCTCCTGGGCAATCAGAATGCCACTGCCAAGGGCTGAGGCCAAAGCACCTTAGGGAGGTGGGTCGCCAGTGTCCATACTGCAAGGGACAATGTCATTCTGCCAAGTGAGAGGAGAGTGGTTCCCACACCACCACGGACCCTCCTAGTGAGTTGTATTCAGCTGCTAGGATCCTGCTGCTCTGAGTCACACGTAGCACCCACATCATCCTCCATCTCCTGGCAGTGGGAATTTGGGTCACAAGGACTTGTGAATCACAGCAACACCTAACACGAAAGGGAAAAAAAGTTATCATCACAGCTTCGAGTCATCCTACTCATAGTCAAAAGAAATAGGTATCACTTTTACCCAGATATTGAAGGATGGTGATCTTGTGTTTAGAGCAGCTGGCTGATTCCCTACTCCTACATGACATTTGAAACCGTGAGCACAGTCCCTCACACCCCAAGTTGGCAAGATCACACAGATCTTCTAATGTTGTGATGTCGCCTACTCCAAACCCTAGCATCCTGCTTAACAATGCTTACTACTCTTACTGGAAACCCAGAGGTTCTACACAACTCTGCATACATCACTTTAGAAGAAATGGGTGATTCATATCCACTTTTAGAAAACAGCAGAGTGAAGTGGAAAGAATAGTTGACTTCAGGGAAGCAAGAAAAACAGTCTCAATCCAAGCCCTGCCACCCGTCAACTTGCATCGTGGCCTTTCAGCAAAGCTACTTACCTCATAAGATGTAGTTCCCATACTATTTAATGTCATTGAACTGTAAGAACCTTTCAGTGCTAAATTCTCTTCATGGATAATCACTCTAAACATGTTCATACAGTTACTATTTTAGTAAAATGGATCAACACCTAACTTTGTGAATCATGCATGACCCCAAATCAAACTATAATGCAAAGGCTCTGCGGAAGACTCTTAAATTGAGTCAGCCAACATCCTTTCTACTTCTTGTCCTCTACAATAGATTCCACTGGTCAACAAACTCAGCTCCTCAGATTGCCTTGTAGCTGGAAGCGCCATGTGCCTCAGTCCTGGCCAAGACTATAAATGTGAGTCTGCCAGTGCTATACCATTGGGTGTCCCTGTCCTGCCTGGGATGTTCATGCAAGGCCTATGAGGCAGCAGGAGCTCCTGAGAAAGGTGGGAGAAGAAGAGAGAAGTCTGGTTCTTCAATGACAATATGGGCTGCCAGGCCAAGCATGGGCTTTCTACAACCTGGGACAAATACATCCCTTTCCTTATGTGAACAGCTATTGGTTAGGTTTTCTGATACCAGCTGCTGAACAAACTACTGACTCAAAAGATGCCTACAGGCGAGATGGTTATTGAAGCCTTATTTTAACAAATTCCAATAGCTTTTAAAAAATCAGGTTGAATGTGAAATTAAGAGAACGTTGCTAAAAGAAAGTGCAAGATACCTCATTAGAGAGATGCTGCTAAAACATCCATTTCCTGTTAATCCCTGGAGAATAATCCAGACATAGATATCAGCAGCAGGCAGCACCTGAGTCTAGGCTAAGAGGTGCTGCCTGACCTTGATGCATCTCATCTCCACTTCAGACAACTCTTTCACGAAGCAGCATTTTTTTTTTAACCAGGCTTGCTTTTTTTAATATAAGCTTTCTTTTGGTTATAGAAGCAATATATTCTCATTTTGGAAAATGTAGAGCACAAAGAAAAAATCTTTAATCCCTTCATACAAAGAGAACCACCATTATCTTCCTGGAATCTTTCCTAGCTCCTAATAATCATCACAATCTTCTACTGAGCGTTGAGTGCCAGGCAGACCGTGTGCTAAGAGCTTTCCAAATTACCACATTTCATTTCTCACAGTGGCCCTCAAAGACTCAGTCTAATTTTTACTCCCATTTTATAAATGAGATAACAGAGGTTCCCTCAGATTGAATACCTGGCTTGGAAACCTAGGGCTAGTGGCAAAGCTTGAATTCAAATTCGGATCTGACTCCAATGTCCATTTCCAGGAGCTACAGCTATTTACTACTCACCCCCTACACAGGACCATCGGACTGAGTACACACAATACATACAAATTTGTGGCCTCCTTTAACTTAGAAGTCTATTGCAAACACTTTCTTGTGACATTAAAAATGCATCTGGTGTAAGACATTCCAGAGATTAACTATTTTTCTAACGTCAGGCATTATGTAATTCTCAGTTGTTTGCTATAAGTAACACTCCAATAAATAACTATGTCTCTATATCTTTGTACTTCAGAGCAGATCCCTAGATTTTAAGACAATGGACTCATTCAATAGGTTTACACATTTGCTTGTCTCCTTCTCACCTACTTCTTGAGTGGATAGACAATGAAGAAAGGCACATGAAATATTCAGCACATATATGAAATTCTAACAAATCAGACCAAAGTCCTCCCCTCTCATTAAGACATAGGTACAACCAGGGGAAGGACCCTCCCTATGCCTGTTTGTCTTATCCTAGAAAATGCCCCCCTCTTCCCTCTGCAGCTGCAAAAAGAAGCACTAAAGACAAGCACCTAAAATGTTTCATATTTAGCAAAGGAAAATGTGACAAGATGGGGGAAAATCCTTAAGGAGGGAAAAAGTGGAAATTCACTGCAATGGGAGCCTTGTGCTGAAAGAGTGTGATACAAAACCCTTTTAGTCTGCCCCACACAATCCTCCTGTGCACTCATGTCCAAACGAGATGGGATGACCAGCCTTTCTAATGCAAAGTGGGAATAAGAATACTCCTGCAGTCAAGGTATGAATTAAATGAGATAATGACCTTTAAATACCTAGGATAATGCGATAATGCAAGGTACATGGTGTGTACTCAATAAAGAGACGTCTGGACTACTGTTCCAGACACAAGGAGCTGAGCTACAACATGAATGTACATTTGTGTGTCGTTCTATAGACCTCTGACCTCAGCAACATCAACTCTGCTGCTGCCTCTGCTCTTCACCTCACCAAACCCTGCACACGTACTTCCTGAGAAAAGGCCTCCGCACTAGTCTTCCATTACATCTCCCAGCCTCTTGGCCCAGCCCAGAGCAGGACATGGTTAGAAGTAAGACCTAGGCTTCAATTCTGACTTTGCCTTTTATTAGCTGTGTTTGTGGCCAGTTAAAACTCTCAAAAGCTCAGTTCAGTTATCTGTAAAATAGGATATAGTCCTATTTAGCTGAGGGCTGATGAAAAGATGAGAGTTAATGTAGACACCGCACCTACCACAGCGTCCCTAACACAGACAGGGAACACTCATCACAGAGCGTGTGTGGCTGTGACCAACTCTCAAAGCTCAGTGGAGCCCATCTCCTTCAGGAAGAGGTCCTGGGTGCCATCACCCTCTCTGGTCTCTTCTGTCCTCAAGTTGGGCAGTGCATCCTACTTACAGCTTGTGTGTGCATTATCTTGTATCTCCCCTGCTCTTTCCAACCCAGCTTCTAAAGAGCAAGAACCATTCTTTATACCACCTAGGAGCCTGGCACATTAAAAAATCAGGAATGTCAATGAAACTCCAGGTTCTCTGTAGCAGCTGTGATCAGATAGGTTCCGATGCTACACTCTGGTTCACAGGGGAAATAAGTGCTAATTATTAGCATCTGTGATGGACACAGAGCGAAGGGGCACTGCTAGGTGGCAATAATCTGCCAGCATTGGAGGAGGCACAGGGTTCCACCTCCAGCAAGTTCACAGCCCCCTTCCCACCTTGCCCCTGGGGTGGTGGCCTCTGGGGTGGGCGGGGCTGAACACACTGACCTGCGTAGCTCCGCCCTGTGCTCATGTTGGTTGGCAGCAGTGTCCATTTGTCGGTAACAGGATTGTAGTACTCTACCGAAGCCAGATTGCAGGACCCGTCATCTCCTCCGACCACGTACAGGAGGCCGTTCACTGCACAGACACCTGGGAGTCGAATACAAGCCACAAGAACACTAGCGATCATGATGTACCCAGCTGGCTCGGAGGCTCATTTCTTCCCTTCTCAGTGACCCTGGAGATTTGGCTCCACAGGTCTGAGCCTGCGCAATGGGAGAACATGCGGCCAACAACCCCCAGGCTCCAAGGATCCCCTTTTCTAACAGGGTGATTTCTTCACCAGGGAACTGTCACTACTACACCGTCACTCACACAGGGGCCGTCTCTGCCCGCATTCGATTGTGGGTACAGACACTACTGCTCTATGAGAAGTTGTCCACGAAACACATAGACCTCACAAGCTAGGAAATGAGATAATTCGGGAAATTCGTGCACACTACTAATGTTCTGCTTGTCGGCTTTTCCCCCGTAAACTCTGCGTTGGATCTGTCCTGTGTTGGATCTGTCCCAGGTACATATACTAATGGCTGTGTCTACACCCCTCACATAGGACAGGGATCTAAATTTACACGGGGTGGAGGCTCCCCTCCCCTCCTGATCCCAGAAGAAGCTTGTTTGTGGGCAAAGTCTCATGAAGTTGGTTCTGAAGAGTAAGAATATGTATTCATCCAGACTTTAAAAGATAACAGTCCAATAAGTTCTGTTTTTATAAAATGAGAATAAGGGAGTGTTGCCACTTTTATAGAGTGGTGCTCCTCTAAAAAATAATAATTATTGTTGATGAAGATACTCTCAAATATCAGTCAGAGGATAAAATGGACCACCTTTCTGGATGACATCTAAAACTTAGGTGCTCCCTATAACTCAAAATTCCACTTCTGATGTTTTATTATAAAGAAAAGATTTTAAATGTGTGTATTGATTCTACTATAAGAATCATTTATAATGACCAAAGCATAGCTTAGAGTATGCAAAAGTTGGAAATAACCTAAGTGCATAGTAATATACTGGTTGTTTAAATTATGATACAGGAATTAAAATATCGTGTAAATTACTGTTATAATAAGATGTTGATGAAAGATGGCAAAGTGAGTTTTAAAAAGCAGATTATAACTCTGTTTCAGTGTGATTTCATTTTTGCTAACAGAAATAACTATGTGTGAATGTGTATATGTACTCACATTTACATCTTAACTTAATTCTCAGGCTCCCGATAGGCTAGCTGTAATTCCTTGCTCATGTGGTCTAAGGCCAAATGCCAAGTTTTATTACAACAGTTTTAAGCAATGAGTAAATTAGTATATTCCCCCTCTGTTTACACCTCCAACAACTCAGCCACAAATAGGTTTAGCAAACAGAATTTATGAGAATAAAGGAAATAAACTGCCTGAAAGTCACCTGTTTGCATTTCAGCCTGGGAAGGTGGGATAATCCAACACTTTCCCAGAACAAGGAGGCACAAAGCAAAATATACAACACCGGACATGACCCAAAGGCCTATGGTCTAAGAAAAGTCACTTGATAGGAGTGTCAGGCTGTGAGAAATATAAATGCACTCCATGGTGAAGCATTCCTACAGGAAGGAATAGGGGAAGGGAAGGGAAGAAAAGGAGAGACAGGAAGTACAAAGAAGGAAATAAAGAAAGTGGCTCCACTGGAGAATCACTCACGGATCTGACTCTCCCTGCAAGGAAAGAGACTGGATTCAGTTAAAAGTAAGAGGCTCTCCTAGCCAGGCACTGGCAAATAAGACACAAAATCAACATTGGCCCACATCTACCCAGCCTTGTGCGCAGAAACCAGCAAAGCCACTGGAGGAGAGGGAAGCTAGTGGCAACCACAGAGCTTTTCTGGTTTTTCCCAATTGTATGCAGTAAGTTATTACAGGTCACTGGAGATAAGGGACCCCACCCTCTGCACCTATCTGGGGATCTTGTGGCGAAGCTTTGTTGGTCTCAAGCTCCCTTCTCCCTAAAGCAGAGCGTACTGAGCAAACAGATGCTTCCTGTTTAGAACCCAAGCTGAGCTCCAGACCCTGACAGGTTTTCCTCTCTTCCTTTCACTCAGAGCTACTGTCTACATTCCAGGAGAAAAGACCCCAAAGGGAGGAAGGAGACAGCAGTAACATTACCTGCATTGCGCCGGCACATGTTCATGTCTGCCACCTGTTTCCAGGTGTTTGTTCCAGGGTCATAAACCTCCACGCTCTTCCTCACCAGGGGTCCATCATGGCCTCCTGTGGCATACAGCTGTCCGCTGAGCACCCCAACCCCTGAAAGGCAGAGCACAGGGTCCCAGCCTCAAGCGGGCTATGGAAACCAGGAGGCCAGGTGTCCAGTCCTGGACAGCCATTGCCAGCAGGGAGACGTGGGGGGGGTCAGTTTTGTCTCCTTGGACCTCAGTGTCCTCATCTGTAAAACAAACATAATGATACCCTGCCTGCCTCCACATAAGATTGGCAACTGGCAAATGTTGAAATATAAAGCAAATGAAACCTTTTAAAAATACATACACACATACGTACATGGAGATATATATAGATATATATATATATGGGAGGAAGTTTGATAAGTGACAGGAAAGAGAGACTAAAAGAAATATACCAAACATCAAACATTACCAGTGGTTAATTCCAGGCAATACAATTACATGTGTTTTTCCTTTTTGCCTATCATATTGCCTCGTTTTCCCACAATGTTGTATTACTTTGGCTTATATTGGTTGAATAAAAAGAGTTAAAAATTGGACGTAGCCACACAGCAGGAGATCATTGTTTGGGAGCCCTCCCTGGTGGTCTTGTTCTTCCTGTCCACTTCTCTCCACCTGGACAGTAAAAGGCATTAATTACAGTATTCATGGTTCTGGTCAGCCTGAGAAGAGCACCAAAATGGCATCATTTACAAGTATTGGGTAAAGAGATAAAAGGAGATAAAAGTCATAGAGGGGGATGGTGGCACCTAGAAAAAGTAAATGATCTGGCAGCTGGAACAGCTGGGTTCAGCCCCCTGAATGGCCCTGCGGGGTGCTCTTTCCCTGTCTGAGCCTCAGTTGCCTCACTTATATGGGGAGAGTTGGAATAGCTCAGTGGTTCCCATGGACCAATATCCTCTATGACAGACTGCATCTGTGAGCTGTGAGCTCCTGAAAAGGCAGCTTCCAGGGCCTTGCTCCCAGATACTTGTCAGGAGCCTGAAAAAATTCCTTAGGAAATGGGGAGGTGCAGCCAGGTTTCAGATCCAACAACGGGATTTGCAGAACATAAACTTCATATGGACAGGAACTCTTATGTCTTGTCCTTATCTATTTCCCTGTGCTTGGAAGTGGTAGGTTCTTAGCAGACACTTTATGAAAGACAAATATATAAAATTCCCTCCGGCAATTTGCTAGAAACCATTTATTCCTAGCAGTTGCCCTGTACTAACAGCAGATGGTGCTGTCATATCAACAATGACTAGGAAAGGGGTGTAGATTTACTTACTAAGTCAGTAGATTCCAAAGCTGCCTCACCTCTGAAATCCTGAGATGGCCACTTTCCCCCTCACCATAGGTGGATGTTGCCCACACCCTGCTGAAAAAGCCAGGCACTCTGGCTCACCACTATCCTGGCAACTCTGCCACTTCCCTCAGGGGCCTGATGCAGAATCATAACTGAAGAGGTTCTGGGCTACAGCCATGGGGCTTCTGGGTGCCTCATGGGACCTAAGGCAGGCAGAAGACAGGGCCTTTAGTCCCTGGGTATTCAGCCACACACACATACAAAACAAAACAAACAAACAAACAAACAAACAAAAAAAAAATATATATATATATATCCACCACAACTAGTATGCAGACTCCCAACTCTACAGGGGAGACCTCCTTACATCTTAGGAAAGTGAAGTACTGCAGAAAGGTAGACCAGGAAGCCTGAAGCCAGGGCTCAGACAATGATCTGAGGAAAGAGTTCATTCCCTATGTCAAGGCCATTTACCTCCCAAGGACATAGAAGCAAAGATTACACAATCCAGGGCTCCCAAGCCTAGGGGAGAGGCAAGAACCAGGCTGAGTGATATCTATCCAGCAACCACCCTTAAAGAGGTCACAGAGACAAAGCAGCTGTGGTTTCCAGAGGCAGCTCCACCTGCACATAGGGTACACCTGGATGTTCAAAGGCAGCTGGGATGTCCTGGTCCCCTGAGCTGCCTCACCACACTTCCACTGGAGAGGAACAGTCACAGAGCTCCATGTGCACAGCCTCAGTCCAAATGAGCCATGCACATTTGCTCTCAGGTCTCAAGTTAAAATCTGAAGTTTTTAAGAAATACGAACAAGACTCTACCAACTTTAGAAATAGAAATTATAGTTTTATGAAAGGAAAGAATCAAGGAATTTCTGAATTGAACTAGCCATTCTGGAACATTTGCTGCAACCCGCTCATATCACATCCTCAGAAGAATTCAAGGCCAGAATTGGGGAAGGGACACACAAAGGAAACATGGAAAGTTACAGAAGACCCAGCAAGGAAGGACAGATTTCTTGATTTCTTGGCACTTGATCCACATTCAAGAAGGGCAAACCTGTGAAGATCCATGGAGACAAGCTTCCTCAAAGACAGCACTCTAAGCAGAGATGATTCTTAAATGGCAGCCAAAAGATAGGGTCTTTGACCCCTGGGTGTTCAGGGTATCATACAGATTTTTCTTATGTCATCAGCAGACGAAATATTAACACAGCATAATTTTTAAGGAGTTCTGAGAAAGTAGTCATGTGTTTGGTACTATAAAACGTGATCGCAATTCTATAGTCAAAACTGCAAGAGAAAGGAATAACTGAGAATAGGAGTCATGGCTGCCTTCCCCTCAGCTCCACACTGGATATCAGTCAGCACACATCATAGCAACCACATCCAGAGATTCCTCCTTCTTCTCAGGCCCTTTTCTTGAGTGTCTGGAATGATGGGGAGACAAAGAAGAGAAACAGGAGCTACTGCTATAGCTCTTGAAAGATCCCAAAACACTACTGAACCCCTGGTCTTCCCACAAGAATCCAAAGCAGAAAACTACTGGAAGGTCATTCTCTTTCCCTTTTGAGGAGGGGGCTGAGATATGAGGGGGGTGGTATAGGTTTATTTCTAAATATGATTACATTAATAAGATTGGCTTTCAACTCCCAGACAGAAACTTCAGACAGGCAAGATGAATTGTATCACCTCAAGCTAGGGACAGCTAGGCTGGTCCTACTACCTCACAGAAATGAGACTGATTATTTGCAGACTTAAAAATCTAGATTGAGCCAGATGTGGTTGTGCACACCTGTAATCCCAGCACTCATGGGAGGCTGAGGAAGGAGGATTGCCATGAGTTTGAGGCCAGCCTGTAACAACAACAACAACAACAAAAATACAGGGCGGGCAATGGTGAGGACCAGAATGGTGGGGCTGCAGGCAGATCCGGCGAGGGCCACACCCTGACCCCAGCGGCTAGGCCACACAGGCCCACGCCAAACGTCCACCTGGAAAAGAGCTGCACAGGTACACAGCATCAGCCAGAGACTCACCCAGATCCCATCAGTAAGTGCGCAGAGACGCTAACCACAAGTCTGTTCAGACACCAGAGACTGGGGTGCACTGCCCCAGACAAAGGTCCTCCCAGACAAAGCTAAATAGCCACAGGCATGCCTAGATACTATCCCAAGTATGCTCAGGCCCTAGCCAGAAGCCCACCCTGATGACAGGTCAGGTCAGGGATCAAAATGGCAATCATTCTGAAGTGCACTGGGGAGCAGCAGAGAAAGGCCACCCAGTGGCTTGCTAAGAAGTGAAGACCACTGAGTGACCAAAAAGTTGTTTCAAAAAAGGGACAGCTGGCTGCATCTATTGAAATAAGTAGACACCTACACAAGTCTCAAAACCAGACTTCCAGAGCACCTAAGGCAACCCCAAAAGGAAATGAGATGATACAATCTGATACTCATCCACTTGGACTCCCTGAGCTGGCAACAAAAGAGAATCTGGAAAATAATGAAATCGGAAATAATTTCTCAGATAACAGCAGAGATTGTGTGTATAGTGCAAGACGATTAGTAAATCTAGAGTGGGCACAGATTAAAAAAAACATAGAGGAGCTGAGAAACGTTATGGAATCCCAACATAGGAAACAAATGGAATCTGTAAGATGGATGCAAACAGATTTCCAAGAGATTAAAAACTCCACTGAAAGTTTATGCAGGAGAATGAGTCAATGGGAGTCCAGAATTTCAGATATAGAAGATAGAATTGCAATTAGTAACCAGGAAAATAAAAATGTCTTAAAAATACTACAGGACCATGAGAAATCAATCCAGCATCTGATAGATAATGTTTAGAAGAATAACATCATTGGAGCCGATGAAGAAACAGGAGAGAATGCACACAACATAAAAAACAAACAAACAAAAACTTCACAAAAGTAATGGCAGAAAACTTCCCAAGCAGGGAGAAAGAACATGACATACAGATAAGTGAGGCATATAGGGCTCCAACTAGCCCTGATCAAAAAATCTACACACAGGCTTATAACAGTTAAGATTCCAAGAACCCAACAGAAGAACAAAATTCTACAAGCAGTTAGAGAAATGAAACAAATCACACACAAATGAAAGCCAATCAGAATCACAGCAGACTTCTCAACACAAACCCTCAAGGCGAGAAGAGCTTGGAGTGATGTATTTCAAGTCCTAAAGGAAAACAACCTCCAACCCAGACTGGTGCACCCCACCAAAAAAACTTTCAAAACTGATGGAACAATAAGATACTTTCATGACAAAGAGCATCTTACAAACTTCATGAATTCCAAGTCAGCACTTGAAAATTTTTTAAACAATATACTAGGGAAAAGACAAGGAGGATCACAAGCCCAGGAAGCCCAGCAGAATGAATCCATCAGGCACAATAAGAAATTAAATGAGAAGGGGAGAATTCAACAAAAAGAAAAGTCATGACAAGGGTAAGTCAATAAATATCAGTTATACCCATCAATGTTTATGGTCTCAATTCACCAATCAAAAGAAATAGACTGACAGAATGGGTCAATAAGCAATATCCAACAACGTGGTACATACAAGAAGCACACTTAATTCAAAAAGAAACTCACAGACTGAGAATTAAAGGGTGGAAAACAATACTCCATGAGACAGGAACCCCCCAAAAAAGCAGGAGTAGCTACCCTCTTTGCAGATCAAATGGATTTCAAATTAACACTGATTAAGAGAGACAAAAAGGACACTACATCGCTGTTAAGGGAGCAATCCAAGAGG